ACAAGATGTGAGAACGTTGGACCATACAGAGCATCATGGACAAGTGATCAAAGTCATCCCACCCAGGAGAAGCTGGTACGTAGCACAACTTCGAAAATAAGTTTTAACACCAATGCTGTACTTCAAGGCAAATAAAAATGTTTTGTTTATTGTACACATCAGCTCAACTACGTGTTGGACATTGAGAAGCCAGCGACAGAGTTGATTGTGAAAACAAGAAAGAGTGTCCTGACACGTGCTGACTTTTGGAGCCTTGGTTTGAACAATGAAATGGACGCAACAGTGAGTTGAAAGTAGATGTAGCCAATTTATTTGAGAGCTAAGTATGTATTTAGTTGAGACTGCTATGTTGAACTTTTTGTTTCTTTTGCAGATTGGAAATGCGTGCTTTGAGCTAATCGAACAAATTGCTCAATCAAAGGTATACAATGCAAATTTTGTAAAGTGTGTGCATAAGGCTTATGTGATTTTCTGACACATTGAAAGGCACAGTATCATGCTAGTCTTGTAGCATTTCCAAAAATATCATCATGACTGTGCTCACATTTACAAAATAATCCACAGGGGAAGACCATTTTTGTAGCAGATCTCTATGTGGTTCCAACATGGCGACTCCCAACTGCATCCAACCCACTTCTGAGTTTACCTGTAAGTCTACCTGCTCTACAGGTTTAGATTTAAATTGTAGTTGCTATGTATTTTTACAGTTGTCTTTTCAATGTATTAGAAAGATGCACGCTTCAGAGATGCCATTGTTATTCCTGTGTGGAAACCTGGACATTTCCTGTTGTCTGTAAGTAATAATGCTAATGGGGGAAAGTAGCTTCCATGAGAACAGTTTCTAGACTGCAGAATATCTATTGTATTATGGATGTGTTAAAAAGTTTAGTTTAAATGTCATTCACTCCTATTGTAAATTTAGGTTTTGAAGCCAACTCAGAGAGACATTGTCTTTCTGGACTCACAATGTGCAAATGCACAATCTGGGTTTGGAGATCCAGAAATGAGAGAACTGTTGAGGTCACAAACTAAACCTTACATTTTGGAACAATGTTCAAGTTCCTTTTCACCAGATCACGTTCTGATCTTTTTGTGTGTAATAATGCCAGATCACGTTCTGATCTTTTTGTGTGTAATAATGCCAGATCACGTTCTGATCTTTTTGTGTGTAATAATGCCAGATCACGTTCTGATCTTTTTGTGTGTAATAATGCCAGATCACGTTCTGATCTTTTTGTGTGTAATAATGCCAGATCATGTTCTGATCTGCGCAAAAGCCTTTTTATGGTACAATTCGAATGAAAATCTTTGATATCAATTCTGTTTTAGAATTTTTAATTTGTCATCTAACAGTTAAATTTTTTTAAAGCTGAAATTGGGTTCACAAACTGGCACCATAAAAAGTCTACTTAAATAATAATGGCTGCATAGAAATGTTAATGCTGTAGTGTTTTTAATTATAGAAAACTTTCTCAGTCAATAAATCCTGGTCCATGGAAAGAGACTACTGGGTTGGAAATTGAGGTAATAGTGCAGTATATTATTTATATTTAACCATATTCTGAAACCAGCTGAACTAAACTCTCTCCCTGACATGCTAGGGTTTTCCAAGACAACCCTACGGGATTGACTGTGGCATCTTCATGCTGATGGTAGGAACACAAATTCCTTGTGCTTGTATTCTACTCTGTAAAGAAAGTACATTCTGTGAAATATTAACATTTAATTGTCAATGTTTGTGTTCACAGTATGCCCTTTATACAGTGCTAGATGCCTCCTTTGATTTCACTATTGTAAGATTACCTATTCATTCAGTAAAAGCATGAAATTCTTTAATGTCACTCTGATATGCTGTATAAAAATAGATGCACATATATAATTTTTTTTAAGATGGATATGCCAGCTTTGCGAAGATGGTGGTGTGTTATGCTGATGGAGAATTTTGACCTTGGATGGTAATATCACAATAGCTTTGACAATTGATTGCCTTAAAATGCTTGTACCACATTTATACCTATAATACATTTATATTTTTCTTCAACAATTTTATTTAAGCCATCATAAAATGTTTGCACACTGGACGGAGATGTCAACAGCCCTCCTGCGTGGTGACGTGCAACCAGTGTTCAGACTGAAGAAGCGAAAGTTTGAAAATATCTCTGAGGTTAGCTTATTTTTTATTAAACACATTTTTGCTTAAATTGTGCTTTTTTTCCCCCCCTTATGACTACATTTATATCAGTGTTAAGATTACCCTTTTTTGTAAAAAAATAAAAGGACAAAGATGTCTCCGTTGAAAACTCTTCGAAGACAACAGTTGAAGTGGTAGGTTTGATTACTATTTCTTTGCCGAGCATCTATCACTGTGTGGAATACACTGTATAAAATAAATGTAATACTAGAAAGAGCACTTGTCCCTTTCCTCTTCTATAGGATAGAGTGAAGGCCAGGATTGCAAATGACTGTAAAGAGGCCGCAGAATGGGTTAACGCAAACCTGCACTTGTTCTCTGATGCCGTGGAATTGCCTGACATACTGAAGATGGGGGAAGTGGAACTGGCAGAGGCTGTACAGCAGTATGAAAAGCTTGGGGGTGACGAGGAAGTGGATGAAGACGAAAAGGAGTCGATCTTGGAGAATTTCAAGTTTTTTTTCAGGAACCTTGAAGACATGAATGTATTTTGTGAGGAAATTACAGACAGCCGAGGGTATGTGGCTTACTGTGAATGCCGAGAATAAAAAAAATCATTGCATTCAATACTTGTTCATTATTCATCATTGCACAAAGTGAACAATTCACTTTTAAATTGTATTTCAAATCTAAAGTTGCTGTTTCAATTTTTTTCAACCAGGTGATTTAAAACCGTAGCTTATTGGCTTGTTAAATTTATCAACTGTATATTTTATGCTGTTTAATTGTTTAGCAGAAAGACTGTAGAAGGCATGTTTTTCACCTTGTTCCTGAGTTTCCTTGATAATTAATCAGTTAAGTCTTCCATTTTGGGTCCTCCTCCTCCTTCGGTCCTCACACCTTGACAGTTTAAAAATATTTTACATTAAAATTTGACGATATAATGTAAAGACTATGTAAACAACAATGTTACTAACAGCAATTACTGAACACTCTGGCCCATTTAAGAATTTTGCAGAGAAACAGTGAGATGTTACATTACAGATAAAGCTACAGTAAAAACACCAGGCGATATATCTTTTAGACTGTGAATAGCGAAACTAAGTCATAACCATGGTTTTTACTCAGATTATTTAAGCAAGGCAAGATTATTTACAGTTGGTAAAACAACATGTATAAAATAATGTTTAAGTAGTAATTGTGAAAGGAAAGGTGTTCTTAAAATGTATATATAGTTAGTTATATGTATATAGTTATATATATATTTTAATATAATATATATACCCAATATATCTACATTATATTATAACATTAGATTACATTAAACTTTGTCATTCCACAGGTACAAGGCAACGGAATGCAGTTTAGTTCTAACCAGAAGTGCAATATCAATAAAGTGCAGGATATACAATGGTTCCATGAGTGCAGTACATGGATATGTACTGTATAAATATGGAGATGAATAATATTATAAACAGAATTTACAGATTTGTACTATGAGTTTAATATAAGAATAAATAGTAATGTGAACAGCTTTACAGCTGGATATGTACTGAGTATAATATTCAGGTGGATATCACCATAAAAATAGAATTTTAGCAGATATGTACAATAAACAATATTTAGATGGTTGTTATGACAGAGTTTACAGGTGAATATTTGCTAAGAATGTATATACGCATGACTATTACTATATCTTTAAACATGATTTTTAACGATAGATATACATAAGTTAGGCTATGCTAATATGTGCAGTATAGCAGTTTCAGAATTAAAAATTTGGCAGAAGCTCTCCAAATTAAAGTGCAGTGGAAAGTAATTGCACAATGAAGTTAAGGTACAGTATTGCAAATAATGTACCTGCAAAAACATGCAACATGCAAAAATAAACGGTGGAAACCGCGGTAACATAATATGTTCATAAACATTTTTTTTTTATTTTATCCATCAGTTTATTAATCCCCGCCAAACAAACGCTATTTAAAACATTTACACAGAAGCATTATTTAGTGAATTCTTCAGATTTGTTGAAACCGCGGTAACATAATAATTTCATAAACATTTTTTATTTATTTATCAGTTTATTAATCCCCGCCAAACAAACGCTATTTAAAACATTTACACAGCAGCATTATTTAGTGAATTCTTCAGATTTGTTGAAACCGCGGTAACATAATATTTTCATAAACATTTTTTATTTATTTATCAGTTTATTAATCCCCGCCAAACAAACGCTATTTAAAACATTTACACAGAAGCATTATTTAGTGAATTCTTCAGATTTGTTTACAATTATCTGCGCGTTTCCAATGACAACAGAGAAATAGGAGGAAGCGGAAGCAACCCAGGACGAAGCTGGAAGGCTGCAACCGGACGCGACTGAGAACGAAGGCGGAAGCGACTGAAACGTGAGGTCTGCAGCCAGACACTCGTGGATATTTTGGGCAAGAAGGAGTAGCAACAATCTTTCAGTCTGATGCACTGATTACTCCAAAGGCTTTGGTTAATGGCTTTGAGACACCAAGTACTTTGCAATCATGTTTGCCACATGTGTCAACAAGGGGGGTTAGGTTGGTGGAGAGCCAGTGACGAGGAATCTGGGGGACTTAAGGAATTCCTCCAGGCTTCCTTCAACGTTCAGCTCTGCTGGGTCCATACTTTTGGCTGGTTCCTTCTGTCAACAAGGGGGTAAGGTTGGTCGAGAGCCACAGACGAGAAAGCAACTAACAGTCAACAAGGAACCAGCAAACAGTTACTGAACATGTTGTGTATAAATAGGAGACTGAACAAAGACCAAGGTTAGTCAGCAGATATGAAGCAGGTGGATGGAAGAGACCAGAATGGAGCTAGGGGAAAGGAGACAGGCACAAGGGGGCAACAGAGAGCAATTAAAGACCGCTTAAACATAAATAAAATGGAAAATATACCAAAGATCAACAAAGCAGAATAACTGATAACTAAAAACCAAAAACTCAAAGTGCCAAAAAGGAAGAACCATAACAGGTAGATATACCGCCTCCTGGAATTGACGTGGTACTTGTACATGCAAAACATTCATATTAACTAAAACATATAAAATTATACAATTATTATGAGCTAGGACAAATAAAATAAAGCTTTTTCTCACCCATCGCAGGGTGTCTCCCAAATAATATTAGCAGTAGATTCCCTCACCATCTGTCATCTTCTCTAAGACCATAACTCCTTCACCTTTTAAGATATCACAAAAATCCAAAACGCACCAAAAAGCAGAGGAAAAGACTTACGACCCTACAGTTCTAATTACGGCAGCAGCACCGACCATCCAATCACAGACCTGAGTCAGTGGCACATCAGATATTTGTAAAGTGAGCTTCTCAGGAGTGACAGCAGTCACTTCTGAGAATCACACAAGAAAACACTGAGGGCCAATGAGGAGCTCCTTGTGGGTAGTCTAAACTCAGGGAAGTGGGTTTCATCTAGACCTGCAGTTTTTCGATTGGTCCTGATGCTCGAAATGTGTCGGTGTACTTTAGTGTAACATTGTTTTTGGACTGTCAAAAGTGCAAAGGACATGTCCCCCTTGCCCCCCCATTGACATAATGGGGGGGGCATGGTTCAGAGTACTTTTTCTCCCTCTCCTGCTGCTCTCCAGTCCTGCCTACCAATGTAATGGTGTGTTCACACCGAAGGCAGCAACAACACGAGTGTGGTGGATTCACATAGAATCCCTATTAAAACCGAGCGGTGAAGGGTGGTGAAGCGGCGAGAGGTGAACTCAACGCATTGACAGTGTTCACTACTCCGCCCTCCTCTCGTGATACTATATAGAGCTGAGTTGTTTTCAAACAGCAGCACCGCATGAAGAGAGAGGAGCGGTGATCCCTGAAGTTGGAAAATCTGAACTTTCCTATGAAATCCGAAACGCGAGCCAATCAAGGACTGGTTGTATGCTAAGCCTCACTTAAAATGGAATAGAAAGATAAACAAAATAAAAAAAGGTAGGAATAAGGACTCAAGAGGTTTTTATGTGGCTTTAAAAAAGCTGTTTTAATTTAGTCCTAGAAGAACTGTCAATCGTCCTCTCTCACCACCAGCACAGAGCCTGGTCTTTCACTGCCCAACATGTGTGCTTTCTAAGGTGGGTAGATTTACAAGGAAGTTCAGTCGATTCTGACAGAATCAGAGCTGCATCTGGATGAACCAAAGTGGACTCTTTGGGTTTTTTTCCAAAAACTGATAGTCTCCCCAAGGCATTTCAAAAGTTGCACATAAGGAAAAATTTAGCAGCAGTCTGTGGTGTTAAGTTTCACCCCTGCTTTTATTGTGAAAGGCCAACAACGACACCTTAACAGGAAATTACATGGGGGTGCCAGGGGTAACGGTAGGTCCAAAGCAGAGGGTCTGGGAGACTGGTGATTGACTAAATATTAAACAATCATTCCAGCCACTAGATAAGGAAAAATGCCTACTGTTATATTCATTATCAGCACAGGAATGACATGTGATGTTATGCAATACTTTATATAAGGAGCGAGTGCAGCACTAACATCTGCCGGGATGGTGACGTCATCCGCCGTATTTGGAAAAAAAAAACAATCAGCATAAATTATACTTTTATCTGCAAAAATGAAGTAGCTCTTAAAAAAAGGCAAGATAATTTTGATTCAATTCAAAGCTTAATGGTGAGATAGTTGACCTCTGGATGACCTAAAAATTATCTTTCTAATATCTCTGAAACAACAGTAGTTGTTACAACAGTATTTTTTGTAAGTTGTACTCTTGTAAGAGTATTTTTTAAAAAAAATTTAAGTGACAATTTTAAGTGCACAAACCTGCACTAAAGAAGCAATAACCATTTAATCTATTTCCTCAGTTTCTTTCACGTCAGTGGGGTGTCAGCTTCACGCAGCTCAAGCTCCTCCTATTTGATAATGCGGTCCAGGGTGTAAACACAGTGCATCTGAAATGCAGAGTGGTGAACTACCTGCGGGCTTGCTGAAATCACCGCCTTCACTACGTGCTGTTTAAATGCACCATTAGGCAATAAGTTTGACAAAACATAGCGTTTGATTGTTGTGTTCCTCTTTACCAGTTGGAAAAAAACAAACAATTCAGTTCAGCTTCTCAGGAGACAATGACTCACATTTACAGGTAAAAATTTACTCATATTTATTGTTCTCTTATTGAACAGAAATTTACCAGACTGCAACGGTTCTAGAGATCCTAAAATCCTGAGATTCTAAAGTCATGCAGAGGTGACTTGAAAATAAGTTTCTCTAGCAGCACTATATTAGTAGACTTTGTAATGTTATGTGTTTTTCAGCAGAGCACAGATAGAGAAGCAGGGACAGCTGCTGATTGAAAGATAAACAGATTTACTGGGATATGCAACATGAAATAAAATCTTAGAAATATTTATGAGATCAGCCAACTCAGCTGCAGAGCCAGACTTCCAGTCAAGAGAGACTTAAAATTGAAAGATGGGAAACCTAGAAGATTCAAAGTACAAACATAAAGTAAAAATCAGTAAATCAATTATTTGAAATAAAACCTTCAATACCCAGACTTTGACAGTCAAAGATATGTGTAAAACTTTAAATCAGATTTAGCTGTTTGTGAAGGAGGAAAATAATTCCTGATACAGC